CATGTAATCCTTCTTATATGTCGCAAGAACCATTAAGAAGTAAAACCAGTAGCAAGAACCATTAATGAAGTAAAACCAGTAGCAAGAACCATTAATGAAGTAAAACCAGTAACAAGAACAGTAGGAAAAACAGCAACAAGAACCAGTAGTAAGAACCATTAATGAAGTAAAACCAGTAGGAAAAACAGTAGCAAGAAAGTAGGAAAAACAACAGCAAGAACCAACCTAAACAGTAGCAAAAACGATAGCAAAAACAGTGACAAGAACCAGACTAAACAATAGCTAAAAAGTAGCAAAAACGGTAGCAAGAACGATAGCAAGAAAATGGGTCCAGATGAAACATGTGAGAGATAGCTTGGCGGAGAGATAGAGAGAGAGGATCGTCGGGAGGAGGCGATAACTCGGCGGAACTCGGCGGAGAGATAAAGAGAAAGGATCATTGGTGTGGGAGGAATGTGATAGGAGGCGTGAAAGGGAAGTGGGAGGAATGTGATAGGAGGCGTCAAAGTGAAGGGCAGATAAGGAAGAAAATGGATCTGAACCATTAGGCAAACATTTGGATGCTAAATCGTTAAGAGATAATTGTCACTATTAAGAGGTTAATTTTTGTATGCCAAACAAACCCAGCCTCTTACCAATTAAGAGGTTCCTTCTTAATGTCACCATTAAGAGGCTATCAAACAGCCCCTTAGACCGGATCACTTCTTACCTTTTTCTCATTTTAATTCTTCTTTTCACATGATTCTTCTTCTAATCATTCATAATTTAGACATTTTTATTAAAGTTTGATTATTTAAGTTTTGATTTATATATTTTATATGAACATCATACCATTTTTTAATCAAAAGTTGCACAAAAATATAATTAAAATGATAGCCGATTTAAGATAAAGAAGAAAGAAACCCAAAAATACTAAAAATAAATACAGTTTTGTAGAGATAAAAAACATTTATCCTGAAATCTCACATCCGGTTCTTATCACACGAATAAAATTAAAACACGTTAAATTATTATTTATTTAACTTATGTTCGTTTTCTTTCTTTGATTATGTATATTTATGTGATTGATGGATGAGAGTAGGACATGAGATTTTTATTCATTGTACAGCTAATTGAAATTACAAATTTCTCACCTCAGTGGCCGTGTTTTAGATTAGAAATAAATGAAATAAAAACCAAGTTGTAGCTATTTTAAAAAATCATTGTTTAATAAATATGAATAAAATAAAAAATACAGATAACTATATTCATCTATACAATAAATATATAAAAGTAAATTAACATCAACTGAATTGAACATTTGTTGCTATTCTTTATTCCAAACGCTGAAAGTTAAGAAATAGACATCGGTTTTGAAATCTTCATTGTAAACAACTCCCATTTCTTCATCATTAGTAAGGTGGGGCATTAAACATACTGATCCTTTTCAACTTTTACGTGCAGTTTGCTTTTGTTGTGTCCCACATCGTTGTCGACATTCTTGTCATCTAATTTTATTAGTTTGTGTTTCTCTTATGTCTTATTGGAAGACCCCATGATCATGATCTTATAGGCTGCAATTTTGATGTGACTGAAAGACAGAAGTTATATCCTTAATTTGTAATTTTTCTTGGAATTGTTAAAATCAAAGTCACATTTTCTACCAATATCAAGCACATAGTTCGTTAATTACTATTCCAATTTTTTGCAAAAAGATGTGTAGTTTTCAATTAACGGACATACCAATTTACCATCAATTAACACGATAAAAGTGGTCATTAATACATTTAAGTATCTTTACAACATGTCAAAATTTAAAATGACCATTGTTGTGAGAAGTATTGAACAACGATGAGGCGAAGATGGGTACTAACGTAGCAGGTCAGTGAGTTGGTTCAAGGAAAGACCCAATTGACTTATCGATGTTCAATATAATTTTGATACAATTTTTTTTTGGTAATTATGCTTTCAAGGTATAAGTTTATATTTAGATTTATTCTAGATATTCAATATAAATCCATGGCTCGATCGTTTGTTTGATGATGTATAAAATATATCAAACGTTATTTATTAAGACAAATTGATACAAATTTTATATGAACCAATATTCATCTGGGAACCAACCATTAAAACTTTCTATTTTGAAGAACTAAAAATGAACTAAACTGCAACACAATGGAACATGATTTTGATGAATTTGATCGATCATGTCCCTTATGTGAAAAAGTTTTAAAAGATTATTCATAAAAGATAATTTCTAAAGCAAAGATTAATGTAGTTTTCCATATTTACATAGGAGAAAATATTTGACATTTAACTTTATCCCCTTTGATTTATACGAAAGTTTGTTTAAGAACAAGCATCACCATCAAGAATGCGATATCGGAACTTCAAGGGTTTTCTATGGAAGGAGATAAAAGGCTGTGATGATCGATATTACAAGAAATAAAAGCATCTTTGGTATATGACGCATCCAAATATTTTCGTTGAAGGAGAGAATTCAATTACAACATGTTTATCATATATATATATATATATATATATATAAAATATGTATATGTATGTGTATAATTCAAATATTCTTTTATCATGTTGTATATCATCACTTAATAGCTTTTTAAATATGTCAATAAATCAAATAAATAAAATGTAAATTTCAAGCCATCTTAACTTATAAAAAATTATTATTCATTTGGAGTTTTCAAAGTTTGAGGAAAAACATTCATATTTTACGAACTATTTTAAACATCTTTACAAATATATAATCGTTTCAACACAAATATTTCCAAAAAAGAAGAAATAAATTAAACATGAAAAGGAAGCATAGCTACCAATCATGATGGTTTTTAGTATAAATCCATACAAGAGCAGCCAAATTCATCTTTAACTTTTTGTTTCTTTTTTATATAACATAATTTTGTTCCTTTAAAAACTTTGAAAATGAGAACCAAACTTTGAATAAGTCTTATAAATCATCTTTATGGTCTTCATTTTCTCTTGAAAATGATCTTTTGTTGTTAATTCTGTTTATTTTATCCATTAAAACAAGGGACGACGTTTAGATTTTTTTTTTTTGTAAAAAATAACAAAATATTTGATTATAAAATTTCTTAAAAGAACATTTTATGTCATTTTTAAGGAAAAAATAAAGATTTTGATGAAAAAGCTGAATGTCCTTCGTTTTAACATAAGAAATAAACAAAGTTAACAATAAAAAACCATTTTCAAAGTAAAATAAAAACCATAAAAATGATTTCTAAAAATTGGGTTCGAGTTTTCCTAAACCTCAAAGACTAAAATTGAAGTTTGCTGCGAAAATAATATAATATATTAATGTACGAAAGAGACATTAACCTTGTATGTGTGTCATTTATCACCATATTATAAACGAACCGTGTGGGTTTTATCAACCATGGCCTGCAATTTTTAAGTCCAAAAACTTCCATCTTCTTGACTGTTCTTAATTGTCCACTTCTGAAAACCCTAGATTCCCATCCCCCATGGTTGCACTATAAGAATCCAACCCCATTATTCATACCAAACTAGCTACATTTTCATGGCTAACTCGACCCAGTTGGTGCCGCCGGTCAAGGGAAGAAGAAAGATGCCTAACTCTAGGGGACATCCAAAGTATGTCGGTGTGCGACAGCGCCCATCGGGGCGGTGGGTGGCGGAGATCAAAGACTCGTTGCAGAAGGTTCGTTTATGGCTCGGGACTTTCGACACCGCGGAGGAGGCTGCCCAGGCGTATGATCAAGCTGCTCGGACGTTGCGTGGCGCCAATGCTCGTACCAATTTTGAATTGCCGAATGATGCAAATGCCGCTCGGAGTTTGCCGGAGAACGATGAGCCGTTTTCGTTTGAGGAAGCATGTGGTTCGGATGGTGGAGAGGACGGGCTTCTTGGTGCGCTCAAGGCGAAGTTATACATAAGGAATGAATCGAAATCGAACCATGCCAAAAAAACTAAAGAGATGTTGCAACCGATGTGTAATACGGCTGTAAGAAAGAGAAAAGCGCAACCAATGATGGTGGCACCTTTGCCACCTGATCAAGTGGCAGGAGATCAGACTGATCGCTTCCCGCTTGGTCAAGATCATGACAAGAACCACCAGGTTCTAGATGCCATTGAACTTACAGGTTCCAATGGCTACAACGGGTTACAATGGTGCTACGAGCCTCTAGTAATACCGGCAACGGTCTCATGGCCTACTGAAATCCCATGGCTAGCTACTTCAAATACAAGCAACCAAGTCCCAGATCTTTCGAGCAGCTTGTTTGACACCGGTCTCATGGATTCCATGTGGCCGGTTACAACCGAGGCTAACCAGTTAACCGGAATCACAGGGACTGGGATTTGGCCATTGGATCAACAGTGTGACTACAATTGGGATGGTGGTGGTGGTTTAGCTCAATCTGCTAATAGTGTTGCAGTCAATGCTTCCAACTGGGATCCTTTCACCTATGTAAATTCAGTTTTAGGTTGACATGATGCACCTTTTTAGGATTAAGAATTCTTTATCTCTAATTATACATATATACATACATATACACATGTGTGTGTTGGGGGGGGGGGGGATGAAACCATGAAATATGGTTATGGTTCTTGTTAACTTTGATTCATGTAATCTCTAGTTGCAAAGAAACACTAAAATAGCAAGTGTGTTTTGAAAAAATCATGTAAATATAACTATCGATTGTATATATATCTATATATATATATATATATATCTCTTTTAATCTGAAGCCTAAAGTACTGTGTGTGTTGACCAAATGATAAACTATAGACATTAAATTCATATAAAGATTTCCATATTTATGATCAGTCATGTAATGAATATTCATAAAGAGTCTTACCCTCTATAAAGTTGCAGGTTCGCTTCCTTTTCGCTAAAGCTGTAACACTGAGGTTCATCGCGCGTAGAAAGCTTCTTGTACAGATTTCAGTTTTTCCATATGCGGACTAAATCATCTTGACAGAAATAAAAGGATGATCTTCAAACTTTAAATTTCTTCTTGTCGAGACTGTTTTCTCCTTTTCCCTCTTTAAATTGTTAATCTGCCTCATGGATTAGGCGTGAGTCATCGATTCTATGAGAGGATCATGACAAGTTTTTGGTCAAAGAATTTTAAGTAGTCATCTACATCCATTGATCATGCCACTCTAGGCCATTGAATCTCCGTTTTGTGAATCTCCGTTTTGAGGGCGAACCTGCAATGATTTTAAAGTTGCATATTATTAATCGATGGTGGTTTATGTTTGTTTTGGTTTTAGAGAAGGAATTGAAAGAGAAAAAGGATGAGTTAGTTACTAACATGAAACTGCCTATCGTTGAAGCTTGATATTAGCTTCAACTCGCCTCTATGGGTCATCATTTCATCCAATATCTCCGTGGAAGACAAATCAAAGTCGCTATCCATGTTATCCTCGTCAGATCCTCCGTGTTCAAACACCTTCAAACCAATACTTGACAATATTAGATGAACTACAAAAATGTCATTATAACCAAAGGGTCATTGGTCCAGTGGGAGGTCAAGTGTTCAAACCTCACTAAAGGTGTGAGAGGTCAATGGTTCAAACCTCACCAAAGGTGTGAGAGGTATGCTGAGTATTTCCAAATATAAACATTATATACTCCAAAAATGGTGATTATATACGGATAATTGGATTAGCTGAAGTTCTGCTAGAAATTCATATTCTTAGTGAGGCCAACCAGTGAAGAGATAGATTTTAAAGGCATACTTTAGAAATATTAATGTATCGTTCAGTGTTTGACAGGAAGCGATTATTTATCTCGATTTCTAGAGCAACAGCAGGTTTCTCTAATTCTTTGGATTATGAATTTTTATTCTTCTTTTTGGTATTTATGGTATGTTCTTCATCACCCCATACCCTTATTCTTTCTCAGGCTGCTTAATAAACAAGTATATTAAGAAATATTCACAGTATATTAGTAAGTAGAATACAGCTGTAGAATTTTTCTGCATACAACTGTACCTTTTTTTTGTAGTTATTCATTGCTAAGTGGACTACTACTATTGTGACAGATAGGCAAATAATCTCTCTTGATGCTGTTTTTGGATTGGGTGAAGTTGTACATTCTTTTGTCATCACATACAATAATGAATAATCTTTGTTTAGCATATTCTTTCTCTTCACAACCGAAATTTTTGTATGCATAGAGCTTAGGAGTCGCAAATTTTGATTGAAATTATTCGTATATATTCGCGTCTTAAATAACAGTGGCTAGATACGATAGAGAAAGGACCTAAAAGGTCACCAACTGGAAAAGAAGTGGAAGATATGGAGAATTCAACATAAGATGAAAAGATAAACGACATACCCTCCGTGAAAGACTGATATTGTGAACTGGGTCCCCAATAAATTCTTCGTAAGCAGAGGAGTCCAGTTCCTGAAGATGTTGACGCGGGAACAGTTTGGGAAGAAAATACTCTCTTATGGGTATTAGCAAGAAGAATGGTAGCGGAAACAATATTCCACCTATTGGTACCCATGTAATTCCATAACAAACCAAGAAATACAAGAGCTGGAAGAATGTGAACATCATTATGTATTTGAATGGCACCGACTCCACATAAGAAGCATGAGGCGCTTCATAGATTCTGTCTCACATATACCACAATAAGGTTGATTCGAACTAGTAATTAACACACACCTGAAATTTAGCATACTACCGGAACCAACCCGTAAGATTTCACAGTAAGGACTCTAAATGCATGACTTACTTGAAACGCCGGCCGGAGGGGATGAGAAGCAGCAACAATCTTTCCCAAAATTGATTACCAGGAAGGCTATCTATGGACATGTAGGCGAAGTATCCCCATAGAACAGAGGTGGGTATCATCCTGATGGCAGGCATAGCAAAGACTGCAAAGCCCACTAAGAAGGACTGAAGTAGATTTGTTACTCTTTGTTCGTTGACTCGGACTGGAATGTGATCCTCAATATGCTTATCAGGATCAAATTTGCCCTTGGCTTCTCCTCCATCTTCACGATTCATGACCACTTCCTTCAAGTCTTCCAACTCTTTGTCTTCAGGACTCTGCAGATAAATGAACTTTGCTTAACCTGTACAACTTTCCAAGTTATATGCTATTTTGTAGTATTAAAGGGGGAAAAAGAATTATTGTATCTTCTTTAACTTGTTCCTTGTGAGCCACAGTCACATACATGATACAACAGAGTGGTATTTGAAAAAATCACATACTTTTGGAAGAGGATCCATCTCAACAAAACCAGCATGTATCCTTCCATAAATTTCTGAGTTGCTTGCCTGCATCTTAATGCCTTCCTTCGCACACATAACCATCTTCTTCCGTATCAACTGAAAACCATGAGTGATAACATTTAATGATTCAGAAAAAACTTTTTTAACCTGTTGAAAAAAGTTAATATCAATTGCATGCCTACCTGTTTCTCAAGAGTTGCAAGACTCCTAGTGTGCATGGGTGATTGTGGGAGGACACCATTTGACGGTGGGACTCCAATCATGCCACAAATCAAAGTCTAATTACACATTGAAAGACAGATATTACTATGATATGCTAAAGAGAATAGGTTGCAAACTTATATGCAAGTTAGACCAAATTCGCTAGATCAAAAGGTAAATAATGATATAAAAATAATAACTTAATGGAAAAAGGGAAAAAAGATTTGTAAGGGACTACCATGAATCCAAGCAACAATAAATCATAATGATAAGCAGAGGGGTTTTTAAGATTGAATTCTTTCTGTTGTGCCATTTGTGCAGCTACACTATGGTCGAAAAAGTACAAGGCAGCAATCATCAAGGCTGGTATTATGGCAGTAAAAACGTGAATCACTGGAACCTTCGCCATATCCTGCAATAATATTAATCTTAGTTTCTGATTGCGGCTTCATTAACAAAGCACTTAGCATAATGAAAACATCCAAGTGTATATCTTCACTGAAGTGGCTCTAATATCTTATTTTCTATTTTATACCTTGACGACTGTCCAATGGGATAAAGATCCAGCTTCCCAAGGAAGAGGACAGAAGAGCCGTCGTGGAACTTCGTGAGGAACTTCTCTGGGCTTGGCATAAGATATTGCAGTCCACAACACGACCATAAAAGGAACCCCATAATCTCCTATAAAAGCCCTTATCCAACCTGTACTTGCCAACACCATAGAAAACATATCAAATTGATGAATTGATATCAAAACAGAAACAAACCCAGGTATAAGATCAAATAATTTTCTTTATTAATTTCATAATTGATCCAACAGTTCTACAAACTTTCAGTTGACACAATATATATACATACATAACAGAGAGTCGGTTAATAGAAACCGACTATGACCCAAACATCACGACTCTTAATTAAACGTCACACCCCTACGATTTATTAATGCATAATTATAATAATTATAAGTCTAGACTACTAATTCAATACAAATTGCAAAGTATAGATGCCAAAATCAAACATTACATGCCTTCCTCACTTACCTACACCATAAGGCCAAGATCTAGCACCTCTACTCTTCATGGAAGTCATGAGGGTACCAAAACCCAAAATAACCGCAAATAACCCATTTGTATATAGCCAATGAAATTGGTACTCCTCTTTTATATCATTTTCTCCTTCTGGAATGTGGAACTCACTTATTATTCCCTAAAATAGAACATAAACCTAGTTAAATGGAAAATGTCCCAACTTAATTACATATCACACTGGTATAGCTTTGAAAAGGTAAAATAAAATATTAACAAGTGCATCTGCATACCTTAATAGCCTCTTGCATAAAAAGCACCGAAATCAACATGCCAAAAAGTTCCCCAGCAATCCTTGTGAATCTTGTGATGATTGTGCAAGCATTGAGTATGGCAAGGACACACAACATCACAGCGGTCCAGACACAGACCCTAATTAAAAACAAACAACATTTATTAACCTCCGCATTGTAGGAAAGAAAACCCATGATAAATATACTTCAAACATTAGGAACAAGGCTGTATACCATCCAGCCCAAGCAAGAAATTGTTCCTTCCCCAACTCTGGCCTTCCTTTGGCAAAATTGTACAGGTAACTGTACATTATAACTGTAGGTTCACCAACACCTAATATCAAAAGTGGTTGTCCACCGAATAGTGCATGGATGATTCCACATACAGCAGTAGAGGTGAGAGTTTCCACGGAGCTCAACGTATCATCTGTCCTCAAACAAAAAATTTTGAGCGAAATAAGCATAACTTTTATATAAGGTACCAGGGTAAATCGATGAATGAAAGATTACACATGATATATCTATTTGTACCTGTATCCTTATTCAGCTGCTCACCGAATGCAATTACTGGAAGGGCGGAGGCAAAGAAGATGTATGCTGTTGGAGCCAATATTCTGGAAAAAGATGAGAACCAAAGAGGAGGAGCATCCGTGCAATTGGTTAACTTCTCAATGTGAATTATAGCCTAAGACTAGCAGCTAAACGAGATACCTTGCTCCTGAACCTAGTGCCCCGATCCAATCTTGCTTGTAACACTGCAATCTTCCTCGAACATCTTTCTTAATTCCACTGAAGGGAGTTTTAGGGGTATCCATTGCAGATATGGTCAAAGCAACAACTCTACCACTAAAATATGAGAAGAACAAAAAAATTATTTAGAGTTTAGCTTTGCTCATCTTTCATTAAAATGACCAGAACTTATGAATGTTGTTACTAATTAGTAGGCTGACATTATAAAAAGTACGTGACTGCATTTTATATCTATTATTTTGAAAAAAAAACATAAATTTCAATTAATAGAAACTCCGCTTGATTTCGTGTGTTACAAAGGAGGCAATAACAATTCAGAAACTCAAATTTCATAGTTGTTGAGAGACAAGTCTTGGAGCAAGTAGTAAGGTTACTATGGGAAGGTTTTGGCTTTGAGTAACAGAAAGAACCTCTTTCATAAACTTCGAGGAAAGAATAAAGAAAAAGCCTTTTCTCCTGATGTCGCACAAGTAGCAGGTGCCTCAGTAGTATGCAGGGTATGGATTATAATACTGTTCTATATGTGCTGTACACCGATCTAAAATACTTTTGAAAACATCAAAAACCCAAGTTTCGTGGCTCCAGGAGTCCTGGTATAGTAGATCAGAGTAAGAAAGTAGTACAACTGAATTGAGCTAACCTAGTCTACAAGAAGTAGCAAAACTCTGGTGTGAATCTGAAGATTGCAATTCATCCTGCATGAAGATATGCCACCCATATTTCTCAACCACCTGAATCATGCCATTTGTCAGTGGCCTTTGAATTTGAATATGCTTGAAAAATACAATACATTTGCAAATGCCTGATTGCGATAGATTTAAGCTACATTGATAGAAAAATGCAAGGGGAGGAAAGAAGATTCATATAGACAATTCTTATTTACATATGAAATCGATAGTCTGTTACGTATGTGTATATGGTTTCCTCAACAAAAAAAAAATGGGATGTATATACATACATATACATCTAGATAGGTAAAGATGCGTATGAACATAATAGAACAAATTACAGCAATGCACACGGAGAGATACTCCACTATGTAGACTTTGAAAATCAAAATCAATATTCTCTACATTCAAAGCGATCAAAAGCCAAATCAGAGTTTAGAACGTAAGATTAGGTTCTAACTTCTAATCATGTGAGAGAGTAATGATATATAATATATATGAAAAGGAGATATAGGACGCATTGTACGTACGAATGACAAAGTAGGATCATTACCGGGGATAAACGATGATCCACAACAAAATAAGCTCTCCGGCAGGCGACTTGCTGCGCTGGAAAAGATTGAAGAGATGATTGTCACTTTTTTTCTGTATACATTTATATGTATCGTTTAATTGTTTCCATCTTGCTCCTCCATTTTCGCAACACTCTGTTCGCCATTTTCACTTGATTCTAGAAAGAGAGAGAAAGAGATCACGGAGATGCGGCGGGAGGACGGTGGTTGTGTGATACTGAGCGGCCGAAACCGTCGGATGGGAACCACGTGGCGTGAGGGCCCGCCGGATCTTACGTCTTGGCTTGAATGGCTGAATTATTTTAATTAAATTATGGGTGTTCGTGACGTAGTTTATGCGGTATGTTGCTAACTTGCTATTGCATTTTAAGTTGACAATACAATAATTATACGTTTAAATAAATAAATAAATAAATAAATAAATATATATATATATATATATATATATTATTATACAACCCTTGACATTTATACAACCAATACAACTCAATCTCAACTGTCCATTTTATTTGATTAATATGTAATTTCATAAAAGTTTTGATTGTTTTCTAATATAAAGTATTGATCATAATTAATGAACCATATTTATCTTCCATAAATATTCAAAGTATAATAAATGAATTCTCATCATTTCCAATTTTCCATAAACATCTATATATATATATGTATATATATATATATATGTATATATATATATATATATATATATATAGTTTGTTTCAAATGCAACCCATCACATTTGTACAAGTAATGCAACCCAATAAATTGAAATGATTATGCAAATGATGAGAGTTCATTTATTATGGTTTAAATATTTATGAAAAGTGAATGAAGTTCATTAATTGTGATCAATACTTTATATTAGAAAACAATCAAAACTTATATGAAATCACATCTTTATCAAATTAAATGGACGGTTGAGATTAGATTGTATTGATTATACAAATATAAATGATTATATAATAACCAACCTCTCTATATATATATTATAAAATTAACGTTAGAGTGATTATAGTTTAAAAAAATAAAGAATCTCAATATATTTGATTCTCAAATATATATTAGATAATTGAAAATAGTACAAACTATTAAGTAATTCAAATACTTTTAACCTTATTAACCGTGCGGTGTCATTAAATACCAATCCGTTCCATATAAAATATTATGGATGAAAACATTTTTAAAACAAATGCATGAAAAAAACCATGTCTTTCATCAATTACATAATATCATTCATGTACTTTCAAGTAGAGATTGTCAAATGGGCCGGTCCAATCCAGGATCGGGATCGACTTGGGACTTGTTTAGGATCGTCGGTTACGGTTTTCGGCAAAAAATAAGGCTCGATCTTGAACGACCCTATTTTTTCAAAAAAATTATTTTTAAATGTATTTATAACTTTCTAAATGTATTTGATTGAAAACCCATTACAAAATTATTATAAAACATAATTTTTAAGTGTATTTAAATGTCTCATTTAATCTCTATTCACTGTATACAATATCATATGGTGTATGGGGAAATATATTAACTCACAAAGGCTCATAATTCTCATAAAAAAACGTATTTTTTAAGTGTATTTAATTAATCCAATTACATATTTTCAAATGTATTAGAATAAAACTTTTGTATTTTTTTAATAATAACTTCAATTTTTTAATGTAAAATATCGAATTTTAACTTTTTTTTGCATAGGACCGGTTTGGGTCCCGTCCAGGACGGGGACCGGTTCTCATAACTGGGACTTCATATTTGGGTGGGGACTGAGACTGGTTACGAGATCACTATTTTAGAACCGAGATGGATTTGGGCCCGGCCTAGCCCAAAAGCGATTTTTGGCTATGTCTGGTTTCAAGTCTTAAATGTTATAATCTTTCATGAGCCTTGTACTTCATTATATTGGAGGTGTACTTTTCTAATTAATAAAACCTTTTTGAAATAATCATTTACTAAGGGGGTGTTTTGTCGATGCAAGGAAATGAAAATAAAAATGACAGTTTTTATTCTCTCGGATTTAATTTGGAATGATAATTTGGCTTATGGAAAAATAACATTGTTATATTATATAAAATCAAAAAGTTCTTTTATTTTCATTCTCATTATTTACTGTTTAATGCTTTCAACCAAACATCCCCTTAAATGTTTTCCATGTTCAAAAACTGTTTTCGTATCTGATATACACAAAAACTAAAACAATAGTGTGGTTAAATGTAAATTGTAAATGGTAAAAGATATATCAATTAAACAACTTGCTTACAAAGTTTTACCAATCAAATTTAAAATTTACAAAAAATGAATAATAAATTTCTAAGAGATTAGAACAAAGATGGAGTTGCTCTTTCTACTCCACAAGCAACAATGTAACATGACGCATTAGTGTTTGATATATACCTCAATTCAATAAATGATGGAATGATATTACAATGTGTTTTAGATAGGATGCTTTAATTTGTATTCCTATAAATCAAGTTATGTAAAGTGATCTATTATGACGTTTAAAAAATTTCAATTTCCTATAAACTTGTTTTACCGTAATAAGAGAGATGGCTACGGATCCCCTCCATCTAAACCTCTTCAATTTCAATTTTTTTTTGCATCAATATTAATGAAATGAAGATGAAAACCCATTAAAACCCTTCAAAGGTTTCGTAAGAAACGATGAAACCCCATAAATCAAGATAAAAAAATGATGGAATGAAGGTTCTTCCCTCTAAAAGTTCATAGAAAGAACACAGATTTGTCAGCGTCACCGTAGTTGTGGAGCTTAAGGGGGCGTCGGGTTTAATGACGAAAGCTTCGTCAAAGTTGCAAAAGCGCCGGGTATAGTT